TCAAATATAATTTGGGCTAGGAAAAGGAAGTGAAATAATATAACGTTAGTGGATCGTAATATTATTTAAGTAATTCAAAAAAGTGGGCATGGCCTACAGTTAGTCCATGAATTTGAATGAGATGTAAATTTATCTAGATTTATTGATATTAATGTCTATAAATTCATATTAAAATGCGTGTTGATCCAAAAATTATGATTCCAACTCTATTAATCTTGTTAAATTGTCTTGAGGCATAGGTTTGAATTTAGTGAATTTTGAAGCTCGTTTGCTATACGAACTAATTTTTTTGATCTAGGCCCGAAATGTCCGATTTTAGTTGGATGAGTTAAAGGTGGATTCTTGTTGTGATATTTTTACCAAAACACATATATATGATGAAGTTGATGTGGTTAAAATTTTGTAATTTTTGGAGATCATTTGATATAGTTTACAAATCGGGACTTTAGCCTTGATTTGCGGTATTTTTAGAAATTGTTCTGGTTGTGATTTAGCTGAAGTTATTAGAGTAAAATCCTCATAAATCATGTTGAACTTAGGGTTAAAGTTTCGGCTTAAAATGAGTTAGTTTGGTCGGACAACTAGAACTCTAGTTTTATCCGTTTATGAAAACCGGGTAATTGTTAAATCCGAGTATACGCCCGAATTCTAGTATAGTATAAATGAATTTAGACATCATAGGTTTATTAATGAGTCCATGGGTTTCGGGATGTGGTCGGTCGGCTGGTGAGTCGTTGACGAGACCATAACCGAGCCTAAGAAAGCTACCGAGGCCGTGTGCCTCATAGCGAGCGTAACCAACCAACCGGCGTGCTTTAGCACGTAGCCTCAACGTGTATTGACGTCCCGCACACGTGTCCCACTCTCGTATGATTGTTTAAGCCGAGCAACCAAGTGCGTGCCCGTGCACCGAGTCCGACCGAGTCGCGCCCCTACGCTCTGCCCACCGCCTGTGCGTCCGTCTGACCTACCGTTAACGCACCGTTTACGTTAGTCCTGGTCCAAGAACGCCCCTGCGTCAGTGACCGTGGCACCGTTTAAAACTCGTGCGTCGGCAAAGCCGTGTCGGATATTGTAACGCCCCAAATCAGTAATAATATTAAGAACGGTTTCACTGCTCGACTATAAGTGAAATCCGTAATTTTTTTAGAATTTTCGAGTTATATTATATATGCTAAATGCTCAATTAATTCCTAAGTTTGATAGATCATTCTTTGGGATTTTCTATATTAAGTATAAGTCAAGATCAATCCATTAATTTGGATTGTTAAAATTATAGCAAATTGATTCGAGAAATTATCGGCTTCGAACCGTAGTTTGGTTCCGATTATTTTTCAAGTTAATTCTCGAGCCTTGCCAAGTATTGATATTTTATACTTAGAATAATTTTCTAAGTCTTGGAATATCAAGAAGTAAGTCTTGAACATTTTAAAATCGAGCCATAGTCCATACTCGAGCCGCTCGAGCCAAGTCCCGAGCCCCGCGCCCTCAGCCGCGCCCAACCAAGCCTAGCCTAGCCCAAGGCCTTGCCAAGCCTTAGCACATTATTCCTAAATTTTACTAAGTATGGAAATCACCATGGAAGCCTTAACAAGTGAGGAGCTAGGCCCAAGACCCCATTTCCGCGCGCAGCCCACTTCCCGCGCCAGCCCAGCACGCCCTCGCGCCCAGGACCAGCGCCCAGGCCCAGCGCCAGCTCGCGACAGCCCACATTTTAAGCCCAATTCCATAATTTCCGGCCCACTTTCCTCATGACCCAATTCAGGCGTGTTATTAGGACTTGATTAGGGACTAATTGAGCTTAAGTTATCCTAAGCAATGTTTAAGGAGAGTCACTTAGTGCCAAGCAACATGGAGAATGTGACTTGCATTATTTTATTCAAGGAGTTTGTCCTTGTCCCCCACTTTTGTACCAAGGCTGACCAGACCACTTACCTCAACTTTTGTGATCTGCAAAACCACCTAGAAGACCACCTAAAACCGTGCAAAGATGCTGCCCCATCAGACCTAGCACATGAGCATGTGGAGTGAGGAGAAGTCCACCCATTTTGGTCTCCCATGACCTCACATTGTAACCTCCGTCCAAGCCCCTTTATAAACCTCATCCTTCAGCCATTATGAACCCATTTGACACTTAGAAAACTCTCCAATATAGAGAGAAGAGAGAGCAAGTCGAGAGCTACCACCTTAGTCCCTACGCGCGCGAGAAGGCCCGAGAAGGAGCACCAAGGTCCAGCTTGTTCCAGCCATTTTCCACCGACGTCCATCTGTTTCAAAGTGTTTCTTGGACATTTCTAAGACTCCTCATTCATCCAAGTTCAGCAAAGTTTCCTCCGAGTCAAGTCCTAACCCCTCGAGGCCTTGAGCAAGGCACTAGCAAGCCCTAGCTTTCGTTTTGGCATTTTGGTGAAGGTTAGTCTGAGGCAACTTCTTCCCAAAATTATTTTATGATATTTTAAGATTTTTCATGAAGAAAAACCGAGCCATGCATGTGTTTATATGTGAGTTCCGAATTTATTAAATTAATAGTCTTAAAAATGAAATTTTAGTAGCTAGCATATTAAAATCGAGATTGTTAGTTAAATCACCCTTAAATATTATACCATTGATGGGGTAAAAGTTTGAATGTAAATGGAGTGCATTACCTTGGTCAAATCATTCATGAAAATATGTTAATTTAGGCACCCGAGGCTTACCCTTATGCATGCAAGTTATGAACCATGTTCCTAGCCATTTTAGCCATCATATATCATGTTAAACATTCGGCCCTGAGTAGATTTGTAAGTTATGAATGTTGGTTCGGAAGTCATGTGCTCGTACGTGCCATTTAGGCCCTACCGAGTAGCATGCATGTGGACCCGGGGTCCTCTAGTGTTTCTTAGCATATTTGTAGCACATTAATCATATTATGATCATATGTCATGCATGTCACCGGAGAAAGTCGCCGGAGGTCTGGCAAGGGCCGGTCTTGGTCACTGGCCGCGCATGTAGTGCGGCAGTGCCCGGCCCAGTGCCTGTCAGTGCCCGGCCCAGTGCCTGTCAGTGCCCGCGCCCAGCCGGTGCGAGGCACAGCAGCCCTCTGGGCATGCGACAGCGCCCAGCAGCGTGATGAAGGGTCGTGTGTTACGTCTAGCTCGACTTGCTCGAAACCCGCGCCGACGCCTTGGTCCCTTCGCAATAAGTTGCTAATACGCGCGCCGACACCTTCGTACTTCGCGATAGGTGTGACGAAACTCGTATGTTGGTCCTATTTCTATCACTGTGAAGAAACTCGGATGTTGGTCCTATTCCATTCACGAACTCTATGTAAACTCATAAGAGAAAACACACGAGAACTTTGAACACAATGTTCGACTCTTTTCTATTCACTCAACCATCATATTCGAAATTATGAGAGTACATGGGTATTTATAGATGCCAAAACAATTCTAATCCTAGTCTAAATAGAACTCCTAATGCAAGTAAATAAGCCCGGCCGCACCAGCCGTGCCCAGCGCCGTGCCCGGGCACCAGCTGGCCCGGCACGGGGCCGAGGCCGGTCCAGCCGATCCAGCGCCCGACCGCCCGGTCCAGCCGAGCCGGCGGTCTGGCCAGTCAGCGAACCGGCCGGTTCGAGTCAGTTTTGATTCGTGATTTCCGATCCGAGTATCTTTTCAGAATTTTTAGTATTTTTCCGAGCCGGTCCAGTCCGGTCTAATCGCGTAGATAAGTCCGAGCATTTTAGCATATAATTAAATATTCCGAGCATTATACTTAGCATTATTTTGCTTAAATATTTATGTAGCCTAAGGAGAGTCGAGCCTCCGACCGCTACCCAGTATCAGCACTTGCATCAAAATTCCAAGTTTTCAGGTGGGGGCCCTGCACTGGGTATTACATTGCCTATAATCTTGTACCATTTATGAGGTATGTATGTAGATATACAGTTTCACCCGAACGGTCCAGTTTAACCGTTCGTGGTCCAGTTTATGTTGACTCTCAGTAGAGTCACTCGCCCAGTACAGTTTTGACTCCCAGTAGAGTAATCCTGGGTTTCTGGGGAGGCGACCCCCAGAACGTGATCACTTGAGAACCGGCCAGTTGCCGGTAGTCCGCACCAGTACAGTACCATTTTATTTATGTATATGCTGAGTTTATGATATTCGATTATACGTGCTGTTTATTCAGTGCTGGTTCTTGCGGAGTACAGTGGATGAGTACTCACGCCCCCACTATTATCTTTTTAGGTGATGGAGTGCAGTCTGGAGCGTGAGCCGAGCATGGTGGTGTGGTGGTGTCCGCGTCTGCTGGACATTTGTTTATGTTTATGTATTGTTGGCATGTATAAATAATTTCAAACTGTACTGTACTTTATTTTACGCTTCCGCACTGCCAACCCAGACCTAGTATGTATGCACGTTTAATTTTCCCTCATCTGTATTTTCCTCAGTCGAATTTTATATGTTGATTTGGGCACGTGCATAAGTATCAGAAAAGCAGAAGTAAGTCAGTAAGTAAGTAGCATCCCGCAAGTTAGTAAGTTTAAACGTTTTTCGAAAATAATTGCAGTATATTTCGAAAATAACCGCGAAAATTTTACCCAATTTTTCGTGAGTCAAAGTTATAGTAGGCGGGGTGTTACAGCATGGTATCAGAGCGCAATTAGCGTTTCTGTAGACCAAAAGTCAGTCAACTTACCACACCACGCTCACGCTCGCGCTGCCTCCGAGGTAAGTCACCTAAACCAGTCTTTATTTTTGCAAATGCTTATTCCAATTCAAGTATGGGGCCTAGATAACTATCCTCCTATAAGACAGATAACTCTAGAGGGAGAACTCTAGAAAGAACTATGTTTCAGAACTCTAGTCTAAGTTAGAACTCCTATTAGATTTAGAACCTTAGACGGATAAGTTGTATGTTATCTATGACTCGTCAAGAAATTTGTAAATCATCGAGTTATTAATATTTAATCTCCTCTACCAAACTCCCCTATATGCTAACCCTGTTAACTGGCCATCAAGATGGCTAATCGCAGAAATAGGAATGCTCCAGTCCCACCAGTCGCAGCCCCTCCAGTAGTTCCCGAGCGGGATCTGGGGCAGCGCATCGCAGAGTTTCGCGGGTTTCACCCAGCGACTTTCAACGGACAGGGAGATCCTCGACAAGTCGAGGAATGGGTGCGCAACCTTGATCTTATCTTCGAGGTCATGGGTTGTCCCGCGCCAGTCAAGGTCATGTGTGCTCAACTTCAGTTGACAGGGGATGCGGGACTTTGGTGGAGTGCCTACTGGGCCATGAGGCCTGGGGAGAAGACTAATCTCACGTGGGAGAGAGCGAAGGAGGTAGTCTGGGAGAAGTATTGCCCAGATCACTACGTTGAGAGGATGGAGAGACAGTTCCTGAGTCTGGAGCAGGCGGGTCGGACTGTTGACGAGTACGAGCTCGATTTCTCTCGCCTCACCTTCTTCGCGCCGAACCTCGTTGACACGGAGGCGAAGAGGACGAAGCGATTCCGGGTGGGCCTACGGGGAGAGATCTGTCACACCATCAGTGCCATGGGCCCCATGACATATGCTGAGACAGTCTCTCGGGCCCAGCATATGGCCGAGAGTATAGTGGTGGAGGCCAGCCGGTTCCGTGCCCCAGTCAGGAGCCATTCCAGCCATTGGCCTTACCAGTCCAGCCAGCCCCACCACATATAGCGCCACCTCAGCAGGCGCAGCCCCAGCAGGCACAGAGACCCAACAAGAGGAAGTGGAAGGGCCGTAACGATCGCAGGAATGGTCCGAGGGGCCCAGCACCAGCACCAGCACCAGCACCAGCACCAACACCAGCTCCAGCCCCGGCTCAGGCTGTGCAGCCTATCCGTCAGGCTGTACCACCATGCGCTACCTGTGGCCGTAATCACCGTGGGGAGTGCCTAGCTGGTCAGAATGCGTGCTATCACTGCCTTAGACCCGGCCATGGTATTCGTGTCTGCCCAGACCGCGCACAGAATCCACAGGGGCAGCGTCAGCAGGCCCAGAACCGACCTGGAGGTGGACCAGCCCAGATCTTCGCCCTTAACCAGGCGGAGGTAGCCGAGCAGCCAGGTACAATGTCTGGCATGATATCTTTATTCAATGTACCAGTCTTTTCCTTATTTGACACGGGAGCGACCCATTCGTTCGTTTCCACAAAGTGTCTCGACGCTATAAATGTCCAGGGAGTGAGCACTGTCGACCCCCTTGAGATCAGCCTAGCCTCAGGGAGGAAGATAGTGACGCACTCTTTGGCCAAGGACCTTAGTCTTGATATTGGCGGAAAAACTCTTGGGGTCGATGCGTTTGTGATCGAGATGAGGGACTTCGACCTCATACTCGGAATGGATTGGTTGGCGAAGTACCACGCGGACATCCGATGCAAAGACAGAGAGGTGATGCTTCAGATGACTGGGGGAGAGCAAATCACGTTCTTCGGAACGAAGGCTAGAACCTTATCACGTGTCATCGCAATGGCGAAAGCGACCAAATATCTGCAGAAGGGGGGCTGTCACGGCTACTTGGTGAACATCGTCGGGGACTCATCGGAGGAGCGGACGCCCAGAGACATCCCAGTGGTGCGCGACTTCATCGACGTCTTTCCGGAGCAGTTACCTGGGGCACCACCGAATAGCCAAGTGGAGTTCACGATTGATCTGGTTCCAAGGGCAGGACCAGTCTCAAAGGCACCTTATCGAATGGCCCCGAAGGAGCTGCAGGAGCTGAAAACTCAAATTCAGGAGTTACTCAAGCTTGGTTTCATTCGACCTAGTGTTTCACCCTGGGGAGCACCTGTCCTCTTTGTCAAGAAGAAGGATGGGACCATGCGAATGTGCATCGACTATCGGAACCTAAACCGGTTAACGGTGAAGAACAAATATCCTCTCCCCAGGATAGAAGATCTATTCGATCAGTTGAGGGGTGCCAGAGTGTTTTCCAAGATCGATCTCCGCTCTGGTTACCATCAGTTGAGAATCAAGGAGGCCGATGTGGCCAAGAAGGCTTTCAGAACTCGATACGGGCACTATGAGTTCGTTGTGATGCCGTTCGGATTGAGCAATGCACCGGCGGTATTCATGGATCTCATGAACCGTGTCTTCCATCCCTTCCTAGACCAGTTTGTTATCGTCTTCATTGATGACATCTTGGTCTATTCTCGTAGTCCGGAGCAGCACGAGGAGCATTTGAGGATCGTGTTGCAGACTCTTAGACGGGAGAGGCTTTATGCCAAGTTCTCTAAATGTGAATTCTGGCTTGATCAAGTGGCTTTTCTTGGCCACATTGTTACGGCGGGGGGAACAGAGGTTGACCCATCGAAGATCGAGGTAGCCCGAAACTGGTCAGCACCAAAGAATGCCACCGAGGTTCGTAGTTTCCTCGGATTAGCTGGCTATTACAGGCGCTTCATCGAGGGTTTTCCAGGATAGCCCTACCCTTGTCTCGATTGACGAGAAAATCGGTGAAGTTTGAATGGAGTGACCGTTGTGAGGCGAGCTTCCAAGAGCTCAAAGGAAGGCTTACGATGGCGCCTGTGTTGACTATACCAGATCCCACTCAGAGTTTAACTATTTACAGTGATGCCTCAAAGCTGGGTCTAGGCTGCGTACTGATGCAAGAAGGAAGGGTTGTGGCTTATGCTTCTCGACAGCTAAAGCCGCACGAGGAGAACTACCCGACTCATGACCTTGAGTTGGCAGCAGTGGTTTACGCCCTAAAGATTTGGAGGCATTATCTGTACGGCGGCAGATGTGAGATTTATACCGACCACAAGAGCCTACAGTATATCTTCACCCAGAAAGAGCTCAACATGCGCCAAAGGCGATGGTTAGAGCTGGTGAAAGATTATGACTGTACCATCAACTATCATCTTGGTAAGGCAAACGTAGTTGCCGACGCCCTCAGCCGGAAGGGAAAGGGCGAGCTAACCTGTATGATCACTCAACAGCGTCAGTTGATTCATGAGTTCGCTCGGATGCAGCTAGAAGTGGTCGAATCACCTCCTAAGTTGCCAGTTGTGGGAGGTATTCGAGCTATGAGAGTGTGGCCCACGCTACGAGACAGGATCCGGCGGGATCAAGCCTTCGATGAGTTCGTTCGCTTGATGGGGGCAAAGATTCATGCCGGAGGAGTAGAGGGCTTTTACCGAGGCACAGATGGTGCTTTGGAGTACAAGGGAAGGATTGTGGTGCCAAACGTCGAGGCCCTGAAGAAGGAGATCTTGACAGAGGCGCACAGTGCTCCCTACTTGGCGCACCCTGGTAGCACCAAGATGTACCACGACCTGAAAGGGTCATTTTGGTGGAAAGGGATGAAGCGAGACGTCGCCGAGTTTGTCGAGAAGTGCTTGATTTGCCAGCAAGTGAAGGCCGAGCACAAGGTTCCACCGGGACTCTTAGAGCCTTTAGAGATTCCGCAGTGGAAGTGGGAGAAGCTGACCATGGACTTTGTCACGGGATTACCAATGTCGCCCGAGCATCACGACGCAGTATGGGTTGTAGTGGACCAGCTGACGAAGTCGGCCCACTTTATGCCCGTTAGGATGGACATGTCCATGGAGCAGCTAACCGAGACGTACCTTCGTGGAATCGTTCGACTTCACGGCGTTCCTGCCGAGATTGTATCAGATCGTGATCCCCGGTTTACTGGCCATTTCTGGAAGAGTCTGAACGAGTCCATGGGGACGAAGTTAAAGTTTAGTTCCACTTATCACCCATAGACCGACAGGCAGTCGGAACGGACCATCCAGACACTTGAGGACATGCTCCGAGCTTGTGTCCTAGAGCGAGGTGGTTCGTGGGAAAAGTTATTACCCAAAGTGGAGTTTGCCTACAACAACAACTATCACTCATCGATCAAGATGGAGCTGTTCGAAGCTTTATATGGTCGCAAGTGCCGCTCACCCCTTTATTGGGATGAAGTCGGCGAGAAACAGGTTCTCGGTCCCAAGTTGATCGAGGACACGGTGCAGAAGGTCGCCGAGATCCGAGCGAGGCTGAGAGAGGCTCAGAGCCGACAGAAGGCCTACGCTAACAAGCGTAGAAGGGAGCTTGAGTTCGAGCAGGGAGACAAGGTGTTTCTGAAAGTCACGCCGATGAAGGGCGTTGTACGTTTTGGGAAGAGGGGGAAACTGCAGCCCCGATTCATAGGGCCATTCGAGATTCTCGAACGAGTTGGCGTAACAGCCTCCGTCTGGCGTTACCCCCAGAGCTCTCGGGTGTACACAACGTCTTCCATGTGTCGATGTTGAGAAAGTACGTGTACGATCCGAGCCACATAGTGAAATTTGACGGGCTAGAGGTCGGGCAGAACCTGATGTACGATGAGCGGCCGGTAGCAGTTCTGGACCGAAAGGTCCGTCGGCTGAGGAGCAGAGATATAGAGCTCGTCAAAGTTTGCTGGAGTCGCCACGACGAGTCAGAAGCCACTTGGGAGAGCGAGGCCGAGATCATAGCTCGATATCCAGATTTCGAGTTTTGAGTCGCATCAGTTGTACCTTGTGTACTTTTATTTATGTTCTTATGTATATAGTTTTGTAATAGGATGTTCTGGCCTAGTACCTTAGTTTAGTATTTCCGAGGACGGAAATATGTTAAGGAGGATAGGTTGTAACGCCCCAAATCAGTAATAATATTAAGAACGGTTTCACTGCTCGACCATAAGTGAAATCCGTAATTTTTTTAGAATTTTCGAGTTATATTATATATGCTAAATGCTCAATTAATTCCTAAGTTTGATAGATCATTCTTTGGGATTTTCTATATTAAGTATAAGTCAAGATCAATCCATTAATTTGGATTGTTAAAATTATAGCAAATTGATTCGAGAAATTATCGGCTTCGAACCCTAGTTTGGTTCCGATTATTTTTCAAGTTAATCCTCGAGCCTTGCCAAGTATTGATATTTTATACTTAGAATAATTTTCTAAGTCTTGGAATACCAAGAAGTAAGTCTTGGACATTTTAAAATCGAGCCATAGTCCATACTCGAGCCGCTCGAGCCAAGTCCCGAGCCCCGCGCCCTTAGCCGCGCCCAACCAAGCCTAGCCTAGCCCAAGGCCTTGCCAAGCCTTAGCACATTATTCCTAAATCTTACTAAGTATGGAAATCACCATGGAAGCCTTATCAAGTGAGGAGCTAGGCCCAAGACCCCATTTCCGCGCGCAGCCCACTTCCCGCGCCAGCCCAGCACGCCCTCGCACCCAGGCCCAGTGCCGCGCATAGGGCCAGCGTCAGCTCGCGACAGCCCATATTTTAAGCCCAATTCCATAATTTCGGCCCACTTTCCTCATGATCCAATTCAGGCGTGTTATTAGGACTTAATGAGGGACTAATTGAGCTTAAGTTACCCTAAGCAATGTTTAAGGAGATTCACTTAGTGCCAAGCAACATGGAGCATGTGACTTGCATTATTTATTCAAGGAATTTGTCCTTGTTCCCCACTTTTGTACCAAGGCTGACCAGACCACTTACCTCAACTTTTGTGATCTGCAAAACCACCTATAAGACCACCTAAAACCGTGCAAAGATGCTGCCCCATCAGACCTAGCACATGAGCATGT